TGGTGAACATGCAACACAGTGTACAGATGATGTGTTGTGGAACTGTGCACCTGAAACCTGTATAAAATTGTTAACCATTTTCACGCCAATAGGTGCAATAAAAAGGAAAAAAATAAAAAAATAAAACATAATTGGTAAAACAAACAAGTTCAAGAGATCTAGGTCAAGTAAACATCATTGGAATTTTATTCTCTGGCACTGTTAACATCTTCCTCATGCCCACATCTCATCTAAGTATGACAAGGAAAAATATAACAAGGAAAACTCTTAAAGCTTGAAAGAAATGGTGGGCTTTTATTGGAGAAAATGAAATAAAGTCTTTCCAAAATGAAGTCTTAAAAAAAAATCTCACAGTGCTGTCAAACCCAGCAAACACTCAGGAGTTCACTGCAGGGGTGTCTAAAAATCACAAGTGAAAAATTTAGTATAATTTTTACAGTTTTTAACAAACAGTATTTAATAAATATTTATCGAATATCCAGGTGCTTTAAAATGTCTCTCTTTCCATAATGGGAGTTAAGTGAAATTCATTTTGTCAAAGTTTTAATAAACCCTAATGAAAGTATCCAGAATCATAAGGATACTTTCTGGCTCACAGTGAATCTCTTAGCTTTTAAGAAAATAGAATGAAGAAAAGGGATATAATTTACAGAAAAAATGTGTATTAAAAGGTATAGGTTATGCCTTGAGAATGGAAAAATGTAGGTGGTCCCCATTAAAAGCTATAGACAAATATATAGCCTAAATGATAAAGTATGATATTAACTTGAAAAGCAGGCATCACACATGTGCATCAGTTTGTTATTTAGACCCTGTCCTCTGTACTCCTTGGGCTCCTGATTTGTACATCCAACTGCCTATTTTACTTCTTCACTTGGGTGCCTAATTACATTCCAAACTTAACAGGTCCAAAAGGAACTGAATTCCATTCCTCAAAGCTGAGCCTTCCTTATCTCTTCAAATGGTTCACAATTTACCTAGATGTTTGAACCAAATACCTGGGATCTACTGATTTTATCTGCTCCTTCACTCCCTATCCCTGAACTAACATGCCCTCACAATAGATCCCAAATTGGTATAGCTTTTTACAATTTGCTTTTATCCTTTCACAAATGCTTTGATGGAAGTAAACTTCAGATTTCTCTCTGGTCTACAAAGTCCTGTAAGATCTGGTCTGTGGATGGCCCAGCCACACTCCCCTTCCCTTCAGACATTCAGGCTATGTCCTTGGTGGGCTTCTCCTTCAGCTCGTTCTGTGACAACTGCAATCCCCCGGCTTTTCCATGGCTGGATCCCACTTGTCACATCAGTTCCTCATCTCATAAGTGACCATTTCAGTGAAGTCTTCCCTGACCACTCATTCTAATTAGCGATGTCCCACTTCCACCACTCATATTCTCTATCATCTCAACTTGTTTTATTGCTTCATAATACTTGTCATTGTCTGTAATTACTTTTCTTCATGTCTTTGCTGGTTTATTTTCTCTCTCTCCATACTAGAGTGTCAGTTCCATGAGAAAAGGGGTCTTATTTGTTTTGTGTGCCCCGTATACCCAAATCAACAATATTACTTGAATGACTGAATGAGTAACACATATGATCCTATCTCTAGATATATCCCCTAGTTATGACTAACCGTCGACTGCCTTAGGCAGAGTTATTTAAACAAGATGTACTATGTAGCAGATCCCCCAGAAGATCACTGATATCTAGAGTTCTACCATGTTCCTCACCTATCATATTAAATGCAGTATTAATATTAAAAAAAATATAAAACTAGATACAATCAGAAATTGTATGGTGTTGCTTCAATAATGTAGAGAACTTGGAAGACTGAAAAGTTGGGAAGAGCTGCTCTCCTAGGCTTGGGGGAAGAGAAAAATTACCTCATTGCTCCATGCCTAAGAGGAGCCATTACTTTGGCTTTTTTTTAAAAGGACAGTGCTGCTTCCAGCAGTTTGAGGCACATCCAATGTTTATGCCAAAGGAACTTTTGCAACTGGAGCTTTGAAAAAGAGAAATAGTCGGGATTGGGTGGGGAGTGGATAAACACTTTCTGCCAGGGAAAGCCAATCCTAGGGCATTTTTATGCAACTACATGTTAACACTCAGCTCAGACTACGATCCTGCCTGCAGGTAATCTCCTTTGGAATATATTACTTACCCTGAGATTGACAATGAATCTGGATATATTTAGGTAATGGGTGGTTTTACTTTCTTTTACTTAAGCATTTATTTTAAATACATATCTATCGGAATTCACAGCATGGCTTATGAGATATTCAATTTTAACTCTTTGAGGGTGTGGACCACATCACTTGTTCACTCTCTGGCCCTACCTGAATCCACTGCTGTTCTGGCTGCACAGCAGACACGACCCCTTCCTAGAAGCTCACGGAAAGGAATGAATACTGGACAGCAAAGAGGAAGATCGTGAAGGGCTGCAATGTCATAGCAGAATGACTCTCCTTTTCCTAACCTTTAATGCCAAGAACTGCTTGTACCCGTTTTGTGTGAGATCAACAGAGGAGATTAGGTAATATAATGCACTTCTGTTCAGAAAAATGATTAAGCTTTCCTTTAGGCTAAGTTATATTTATTTCCTTTTGCTCCTCTGCAATGTGCCTACAAGTAAGTGCTTAGAAATTATTTCCAGAACACTGTCTTTCCTTCAAAGAACTTTAGCTTAGAATTAAAATATTTAATTAACTTTGTGCATTACAAATTCAGAGGTGAAAAAGAGATTTTAGTTCATAAAAAAATTTAAAAACGCCTTAAAAAAAGATTTGTAGACAATGACAAACTATTAATATCTTTATTATATGAAATGAGAGCTCAAATGGATAAAACATTACTAGCCAAAGAGATAAATGATTAAAAGACTCAGAAGAGACATTTTAAAGGGAAAATTCAGCTAGAAGAACACTATTCCACCTTGCCAGTAATCTTAATAAAGACATTTCTAGTCTATAAATTTATAAATAAAATTAAATAATCTTTTCTCCATTCTTTTAAAAAAAACCAACCCAAGGCATTCTTTGTTAAAATAAAATATTATAGAACCCCAGGCAAGTTGGGTTTCATCCACCCTATTTGAAAGGGTGGGCCATGAGGACTGGCCTATTTTCCCTGCTCTCCTTCCTTCAGAGACTTTTGAGGGAGTGTTTAGTTCTCCAGTACAACTGGAAGAGCACTATTTATACTGGCATTAGATGTGCAGGAGGCACATTTCCACATTGCTGAGGTTCTGAATCACTTTGAAAAGCAATCTGAAAATATTCCACAAAAATCACCAAAATACCCATGTCCGCTGACTACCTTCACTGCTAAGACCCTTATACTGGCCATATTGCAGGAAGATACGAATTGCAGCATTATTTAAGACAGTGAAACTTTAGTACAATAATAAATGCATGCAATCAACCATTCAAGAACTACTTAGTGAGCAAAGGACCTTGCAAAAGTTAATGTTTCTATCAAAGGATGAGAGGAAATAGGAGTGGCTGGGGGAACAGCTCGAAAGGCCACGGAGCTCATTAGATGGTGCCTGCTATGTACCATGGCTTTTATCTTACTGGAGGACAATAACTCCTTAAATTAACTTAGTCCAGATATCCTATTACCAAACAATACCATGAAAGCCAGAAGAGAAAATATGCCAGGTTGTAGCATTATAACTTCCACTGGGACTCTTCAGGTAAAACCACAATCCTGATATTGGTTGTCTCCCAGGAGAGAATAAAGGTGAAACAAACCCAAAACATTTCTCTGGGAGTCCCTGGCTTAGCTACGGATCTAGGAAATTTATAGCTATTTGAGGCACTCCTAACCAAACAAAAAGAATCAGGATGGCTTCTGTCACAGGAGGTAGGTCAGGATAGTTAGACAGGCGGTCTCTCCCTGGTAAGCTCTAAGCTTAAGATAAATAAAAGCATTTTGTAAATAAGATGATCCAGTTTCACATACTTTTCTGCATTTATTTCCCTTGCATAATTCCATAGCTTTAATAAAGTTTTATTTAAATGCCTCCAGTCTAGTGTCAGCTGTGCTCTGGGTAAAGGAAGGATTCCTTATTTTAGCCAACCAGAGAAGACACTCCAGCCCACCTTCCATACTTAAGCTGGTGTGATGGCAAAGGTGATGAGTGAGAGATGCCCTGGTCTAGGAAAGGTATTTCTCAGAGGCCCAGGGCAGGCCAGGCCGTCCCTACAGGGAAGCATTCTCTATCACCATTCTCCAAGGGGTGGGGTTCATTTGATTACTGAGTCACTTCTTTGTATCCTCAAGAATGTTTAGAAAACCAGACAGTTAAAAAATAAGCATCATGAAACACAAATGAGACCAGGAAAAGAAAAATAACTTTTGAGGGCAAAAAAGCAAACGAACTAATAAAGACAAATTTCAGGTTGCTGCAACTCTCTTTGCCTGTTTCCTTTCAGAAAGGGGCAACTGATCAACTACGTGGAAATGACTGCTTTAGGTGGGAAGACAAGTGTAAATCAAAGCAAAATTTCTTTACACATTAAAAGCAAAACCACATAAAAAGATATTCTAATATAATCACTTATTCAAAGGAAAAAATAGAAAAACAAGTATAATCATTGTCATTAGTTTTTTTAAAACAGCATTTAAAAAAGGTTATTTAATTTGACCTTAGAATAATTGCTTCCTGTAAACATAACATGCATCTCACTTCATAATCAGATGTAGCATGTACACAGAAAGTTCAAGCAATGTAAACATGAAATAAGCTGGATTGCAGGTCTGTCTTTTTCTGCTACAATATAAAGCACATTATTAGTACATTCCTGGGTAGTTCTCTTTTATTTTCTCTGATTTGTTTTATATTCATTTTATCTTGGGGTAAGTTATTCTATCTGTGTAAGTCAGCTGAACTATGTTCTGGAAGAAGATGGAGTACAACAAACAAAAATTACTTTTTCTCTCAATACTTTTTCTTTCTGGATTACCTTTTTTCCCATGAGAATGATTACTCTTACCTTAGGTTGCTTGCAAAGGTAGCGACAAATTTCTCCAATATATTGAAACACAGTCACATTATACTTTTTGCAGTCATTCCAAAATTGGCTTGCTGAGAATTTCTTCTTTAACACACAAGTAGCTCCTATGAGAAAAGGCAAAAAGAGGCACTGGGTAAAAAATTCAAGGGCGGAATTCACATAAAACACACATGCTGCTGCTCTGTCTAGAACACTTTATCACTTTCACATCAAGCTCATTTGAAAGCATTAACCTTACAGCCCATAGCCTGAGGCTGAGAGGAAGGTAGTAAGACAGCGCCAACAAAAAGTTCCTAACTTTAGAACCGGACTTCAGCAACACTGGAAGTCACATTACTGTGTCCAAAGGGAAAAAACCTAAGACTTTGGCCTTCATCTTTACTTACAGTGGACACTGATTGTATTCTGAATAAGCTACTCTATAAAACGACTATAATCTTTGGACATATAAATAGGAGTAAATGATCTCTGTTTATATATTATTTCAGGACTAGCTAGTAATGGACACATAATCTCAGCATGTTTATAAATGGAATCTACTGTGTCACAAGCACTACCAACGTACTTATTGGGAATCTGGGGCACCCTGTTTAGGAAGATAGCCTCAGCAATCCTTATTATGCACTTACCTTTGCAATGTGAATTTGCCACTCTTCCCTTCAAGAGATGGGGTCTATTTTCCAACCCTTCAAATTCTGAAAGTGGAATGACTTGTGACTTGCTTTGATCAACAAAATGCAGGTGAAATGATCTATGTGACTTCCAAGGATAAGCCTTAAGAGTACGCAGCTTCCACATTCACTCTCTTGAAAGGTTCCTACCACCATTTAAGAAGGTGGGGGGTATACTATTAAAAAATGGGTGACGTCGTGGAGAAAGCCCACTCAACAGCCAGCTCTGTCTGCATGGCCAAATTCCTAGGGCGCTACTCCTTCCACTTCAGGGATACACTAATTATGTTATGAAATTGTGTACTTTTCATAAATTGCATAATTTATTAAATGGTATAATTACATAATGTGCACACAATCACTCTGAATTCTACTGGTAGAGTTGCAAACTTTAAAAACACAAGTTCTAATTATTAGGCATTTTGATAAATATAGAAAATAAAAACTTACCTAACTCAATACATCCACCAATTCCCAGGAGAGATCCTGAACTATGATACAGAGGAAGGGTTATATAAATGATGTCATCACTCGTACAACCAAAAGCCCACAGTCCAGCAGAGCCCTTTAAAGACTGTAGCTGAGTAATCACAGCTGCTTTTGGTAGACCTGGGAGAAAAGAAAACCACATATATGTAAGAGAAATCAAGTCTAGTCTTTCCTAGACATCCTTGAGGCTACCTAACCAAGGCCAACAGAGATATGAGACTATAAAATATCACTACCAAAAAAACAACAACAAAAAGAGGAATATTCAGAGAACACAAGGGTTCTTAGAAAATAAATCTCTCAAAAAGTAACTCAGAAGACAAGAAAAGGAAAATGGGATAGAAAAAAAGAGAAAATTAATAATTTAGTCCAGGAGGTCCCATCTTCAGAAAGTTACAGTCCTGAAGATAAAAGAATAGACCAATGAGCGAGTGCGCTAGAAGGAGGGAACGGGGAGAAGGAACAGAAATGAAAGAGGAGGGAGAAGGGAATGGGGGGGTTAAAAGAATTTTTCAAGTAACTAGAATTGCAAGACCCGAGTTTCTAGACCAAACAGGCCTGCAAATTTCCCAGCAAAAAGGATGACTAAGACCAGTCCCAGTACAAGTCATCATGATGTTACAGACTAATGAAAACTCACCAAAGAGTCTAAAAATCCCCCCAGAGAAAGAAAAAGAATAGCAGTTGGCATATAAAGGATAAGAAATCAGAAAGAAGTCTTCTCAATGTGTATCCTGAAAGTCAGGAGATAATGGAGCACGCCTTCAAATTTCTGCACAAAAATCAATTCTTACCCTAGAATTCTATACAAATTAAGAGTAAGGGTAGAAAAAAAAGGCATTTGCAGACATGTGAGGACTTAAACGTACCTCCCAAACGCTCTTTATCAGACAGCTGCTGAAAGCAGGGCGATGATAAAATGAAAAGTAAAGCAGGAAACAAATTGAGGATTTAGGGATTAGAGGATCAGAAAAAAGAGTTGAAGGGAATTAATTCCCAGGAAGACAGTGAAGAATGAACCCAGGACTATAAGAGAGTAACTGGTCAAGACTGAAATAGAGGCAGGAAGACTCTGGGAAAGAGGTGGCCAAAACACGGCCTTGATAAAATATAGATTATCTTTTCAGTTTCAAAGGTGAGTTATCTTTTTGACAAAGGGGTGACCATGAACCAGTTATAGGTGTATAGGAAACTAAGCAAGCAAGCAAAAACAGTGATCAATTCCAGGTCGGAGGGCGTTTTATGTGAAAGGAAATATACTTTTGTTATACTGTAGAGCTCAGCTAGAAATAGTGTTTACTAAGTTATGATACTGATACCAATCTAGTCAAAATTTATGATGAAACAATATTAGTGTGATGCTAGAGGAGAGAAAGTGACTACACAAGACAGAAAGAAATGAGTGGAAGAGAGTGGTGATAAAAGAAGACAAAATCCTCAACTTCCTATGTGGCAAATCAGTAGATACTTTTTAGTATGCACCTGTTAAGCGTCTAGTAAGATACTGGTTCTATTTAGACATATGGAGGTGATTATAAAAAGAAAGATCCAAAAGTACTAAATGTAATTGGTTTGGGAAAGGGGATATAAGGGGGTAGGCTGAATGCTTTTCTCTAAAGCTTCTAAAATTGTTAGAATTTTTCACCTCTGTGCTTATAATTTCAATACAAATAAATATCAAATGAAAAGAATAGTAATGCTTTTGCTTTCAGCCTGTTGTGCAAATGTATAAAGCGTCCTGGTTTTAATCTTGAAGAACAAACGCTGGCCATAGTCTGCTCCAGCCTGTTCTCTTTGGGCAGGGAGGAGGCTCCCGAGGAGGGGGAGTGGTGAAGACTGTTCTAAAGACCTGAGTCACTTTCTACTTTTCACAAGGAAACAGTCACAAAGATAAACTGGTTAAGTACCTTCTGCTGGAATTTTTCTAAGCTTATCATTTCTAGAATTTCATTGCCTCTTTCAAAGTCTAAAGTCAGACTGAATTTATGCTGACAACTTGGTACATATTAGCATTTTCCAGTACATTTATCAAAGCTTTATAAACATAGTAAAAAATATAGTCTGCTTTCTAGTTTAAAAGAGATCATTGTTAGGCTCCAAATAGAAAGAAAAGAAAGGCAA